CGGGACACCCCTGGGCCACCGCTGGCCAACAGGGGGGGCAGAGTCTTTGGACTCAGTTTCGACCTAGCAACGGCGGGTTCATTCCTCTCGACCGCCCACGCAGCTTCGCCTCGTCCGCACGCGCGACAGGAACACGAAACCGAACCCGATTTCCCGGTGGGGCGTCTCCACTTCACTTCGAACTCATCCCCCAACCTCCGATTTCTAGTTCGCGCGCGAGGGGCCGCCCCTGGGGGTCCTTGGGCGAACAATACCCTGGGCATAGTGCGCACGACTCGGACCAGAGATGGTTTTGCTCCTGGGTGCGGCCTTCTGGGCCCCGCAGAGCGCCCCAGGGGCGCTCCAGGGAACCTCCAAGAGAGTTCAAGATGGTATGAGACGGCCTCAGAGCGCTCAAATCGTCCAATCGAATCTCTAGATAGCCTGGGATGCCTCCGAAACGCCTCAATAAAGTTCCGAGAGATACCCCAAGAAGGCCCCGAGGGGCAAAAAGCACTGATGTTCCTCCAGCTTTTGACATAATTTCACGTAATCGCCTGTTCGTGCTTCCGACCCCTCAGATGGCCAAAATGCAGCCACGAGGCCCCCGAGAGGCCTGCCAAGAGAGACCCCGACGAGCCTTCAAATAACGGCCCTCGTCCACGACCCAATATGGCCGAAAGCCGCTGAACACTACATCAAGTATGGGCCGAGTGAAACGCTCGAATCACCCCATCTCGGGGTGCGGAGAACAAGCGCCTCGCTGGAGAAATCCCCGCTATCTGGGCAAGAACGGTCGAACGCCTAAGAGGCCCCCAAGAGGCCCCCGGGAAGCCCCAGGAGGCACCCGAAGAGGCTCCCGAGAGGCCCCCCTGAGAGGCTCGCAAGAGGCTCCAGAGCTGCCCCCCAGAGGCCCCCGAGAGCGCTCCGAAGAGACCCCAAGAAGCATACCTGAGGACCCTGACCCACGTCAGCGTCGTCGTCGTCATCGCCGCCGCCGCCGTCTTCGTCGTCGTCGTACCCCTTCAGGATCGGTGGCCCCGGCCGCAAGGCCTTCGCAAAAACAATGCACAGTGACCCTGCGGCAAAGTCTTGGGTCAGGTTCGGAGGCCTCGCGAGCACTTTGTACTGCTCGTTGACAGGGGCGGCGGGGGCGTGAGCATCTGGCCTGCTGTGCGCAGGGCCACCATCCCTTTCAAATAACAGTGCAAGATTGCACTTCGCGGCTAAATCTGGAACATGCAGGGGCATACCAGAATCACTGCGCATTGGTTTTTGAAAGGGTCGGCGGGGGTGCTGCAATATTGCCTGCTGCGTGCAGGCCCACCAGACATCAGAATGGCCACTCCGTCGCGATTGTGCATTGGTTATCGACAGGGATGGTGGGGGGCGAAGTGGTGCACCTCGCCCAAGCGTTGCGCAACTTGGGCCTGTATTGGTTCCCAGTAGCTGCCCATCTAAAGACGACCGCTGAATATGCTGAGACTCGGGTACTAATTATGTGGTGGGAGGGCAGGTCGGAGTGAGCCAAACAGTTTGCGTCTGGGAGAGGTGTCTTGAACCCTCCTCCGAACCCCTCCCCCTGTGTCTGGACGGGGGAAGCTGGGAGCGGTCAGACCGTCCAAGATGACCCAAGTTGGCTCCAAGATTCCTCAAGAGAGCACAAGATGACCTCCAAGATGGCATCAGATAGTCGAAGATGGCTCAAGGTGGTTTCCAGTATGCCCAAAGGCGCTAAGGACCTCCCACAGTGGCCTCAAGTGACCACGACATGTCGAACCCTTCCCCGCGCCAGCAGGCCCCCCAAAGGCCCCAAAGAGGCCTCTGAAGGCGCAAACGACTCCCCCGAGAGGCCCCCGAGACGCCCTAGAAAGTTCCAAACATACCGCTAAGAGGCCGCCGAGAGGCATCCCAAGAGACCCCAAGAAGCCTTTCAAAGAGGCGTCCTGTCCACGACCCAGTTTGGCCCCAGGAATGCCTCAAGGAGACATCGAGAGGCTTCATCATCATCCTTCCCTCGTCCTCTGCCTCCTCCTGATCCTCCGCCTCCTCCTCGCTCGCCACGAGCGCACCAACATATAACACCAGTGATACAAGATAGGCCGGCAAGACGCCCTCAGAGCCCCCCCAAGAGGAAACCATAATTGTTTCCTCTTAGGTGGTTGTGTGGTTGCGATCTTGGGGCCATAAAGGAAAGCCCGGCTGAACATTCCATTTGCTTCCCTCAGGAAGTACCGAACTTTGGCGGAGGTGCGACTGTCACAAAATAGGAAATTGCTGTGATTCTGATGTTGCTGGCCAGGTTGGACAGGCTGGTCTGGCGGTTCTGGCTGAATTCTGGCAAACTCTGGCCGAATATGGCAGCCGCTGGCGCGTGTTGCCTTTCTGAGCCCCGACAGCCGACGTTTCAGGTTGAAATGCCGGCGCCGCTGGACAGACGTTTCAATCAGAACAATCACCTTCCAGTTTGGATCACGATCACATTCAACAACACAAACAGACCTCCATATAGCTATAACAAGATAAACTGACTGTTCGACACATGAAAATTTATAGTCAAAACCGCCCAGTCCACCCTAGTACCCTAGACTGCCGCCCCAGACTGTCCCCGACCCTATGTCATATGGGGCCGCGCGCGGCGGAGGGGGCGAAAGCCCCGTTCCGAGTCCAAAACTATTGACCTCATGGGCGTGCTTCGCATCTGGGTCGTTACTCCTAAAGGGCCGCGCTCGGCGGAGCCCTGCTCCCTAGTGCCTACTCATGCGGGACCGCGCGCGGCGGAAGGGAAGCAAAAGTCCTGATCAAAGTAAGCACTCTGCGCAGACCAGCGTTGATTCCAACTCTCTGCCACAATTGGCCCTGCGTATTTGCCAGCGCGGACCCAATGCCTCCAGGAGCTTTCCCACGAGAGCCCCGAAAAGCAAAATTCATGGATTTCCCATACGTGTTTGAAAGTTTCTGGCGTTCTCGACGCGCCAAGACGGTCCGAGAGGCCCCCAAGATCGCCCCGAGACGGCCCAAGAGGCCCCCAAGAGGGTCCCCTGACGGCCGAAGAGGGCCCCAAGACGGCCCAAGACGCCTCCAAGACGGCCCAAGTGTCTCCCCAGACGGCTCCAGGGGAGTGCCCAGACGGGGGACCCGAACGGACGTTTCGAGCTCTCAGCCCCAAGAGGCCCCCAAGAGGCCCCGAAGAAGCCCCAAGAGGCCCCAAGAGGCTCCCAAGGGGCCCCCCAACTGCCCCAAGACAGCCCAGGAGAGCCCCAAATTGCCCAGGAGGCCTCCAAGAGTGCCTCGAGACGGCGCAAGAGGAGCCCTGGACGGCCCAAGACGGCCTCAGGAGAGAGCCCCAGGCTGTCCCAAGAAAGCCTCTGGCCTCCTCCTCTTCCTCCTCCTCCTCCTCCTCCTCCTCCTCCTCCTCCTCCTCCTCCTCCTCCTCCTCCTCCTCCTCCTCCTCCTCCTCCTCCTCGTCCCCCCCTCCCCCATCTGCTCCCCCTCCTGCTGCTCTCCTCTGCCTCCTTCTCCTCCTCTTGCTTCTCCTCCACATCATTCTTCCCCCTCCTCCTCTCTCATCCACCTCCTCCACCCTGCCCCCCCCCTCGTTTTCATCTTCGTCGCTCTCAGGGTTGGCGGCAACGGCCGCAAGGCCTTCGCAATAATGTGGTGCAAGCTATGCTGTGCAACATGCACATTGCCCTACTCCTTCTCGCTATTAACCGACTGATATTGCTTCGACCTTCCACTCCGGACGGTATTCCTACGCGCCACTAGGCAACGGGGAAGGCACCCCGATCCTACGTGGGCGAGCGCGGCTCGCTACTCTCTTACGCACCTACTTATATTCGTTTTCGCTACTCGGCGGGGCCGCGCGCGGCGGCGGGAGCGAAAGCCCTGCTCGCTGGTCACGTGGGGCCGCGCGCGGCTGTGGGGCCCGGGGAGGAGGGGGGGAGGGGGGGGGACGAATGCCTTGCTCAACAACCTAGATTTTGCCTCGCCGACAGCGTTTACTCCAAGTGTCTGCCAGCGTTGGCCCCATGTGAATGACAGCGTCGAACCCCTACTGAAAATTGCGCGGAACAGCCCTGACGCTGCCACGCACTGCCCAAGATTCCCAATCTTGCCCTATAGTGCCCAACCTTGCCAAATATTGCTTGAGGTTGCACAAGAATGCCCAAGCCTACTCGTGCGAACCTATCGGGCTTTACGCAACAGGAAGCGCGACTGCACGTATTCCGCCGCTGACTCCAAATTACTAGCAGCGTAAACTTCCATACGAGTTCGATGATTCAAAAACCTGCGCCGACGTTCTGCAACTATTTGGCGGGAGGATGCATCAAATCATTGATCCCGCGCATGTACCGGATTGTCCCTGCTTGTACTCTCGCGAACCAAGACGTCGCGCCAGGTCCGAATCCCTGACCCGTGTGACCCGACCGTTCAGGTCGGCTCGCCATCCGATGTCTCCAGACCTGCCGATTCCTAGACACCTGCAACCGCGCGCGGTCATGTTCAAAACCCCTTAGCCCCTTAGACTTTCATGATATCGGATTCTGGCTCAGGAGCGCGCGCAACGGTCAGCCTGCGAACTAGGACGAGAGCTAGCGGCATCTGCTAAGCAAGTCAAATACCACACATCTGTTCTAACTAATCGCCAGTGTATTTTGTGGTATGCTTTGACTTCGGCGTGCCAAAAACATTCTGGAACTATTTTCGGCGCCTTTTCAATGGTCTCCTTGGCTTGCAAGAACTTAGAGGCCCGCGCCCATATAACCCCAGGCAACTCCTGGGGTGCGTTTTGACTGGACTCAAGGGGGGATCCAGCCGTGGCGACGCAGGCCTCAACCCTCGAACTTGACTGGACTCAAGGGGGGATCCGGCCGTGGCGACGCAGGCCTCGACCCTCGAAATCCGACCTTCGATCCCACCCACCCTCGACGCTCGGTCCTCGAGGCTCGGTCCTCGAGGCTCGACCCTCGAGGCTCGAAGCCCGACCCTCGAGGCTCGACCTCCCCCCCCGGGGGGCGCCGCGGCTCGCCGCTGCGCCGCCCGCCGAGGCGCGCCCGCCCCAGGCCCAGATGCGCAGCGTCACCGGCCCCGCCAGGTCGCCCAGGCCGGGGCCGTCGCGCGGCGTGGTGCGGAGCTTCTCCTCGGCGGTCGGAAGGTCTCCGGAGGCTCTCAAGCAGGCGCAGGGGGCTCCTGCGGTCGGACTCGACGGGACAGGACACGCGGGAGGACACAAGACCCTCCCGAGGGCCACATGGCCACAGGAAGGCAGGGAAGCGCGAGACACAGGACACAAGGGTACCCTTGATTTGGCAAGGTCGACCTACTAATCCGGGCCGACTGTACTGCTTGTGGGGCCTGGGGCGGTTCCCGTCCGCGGCGCCTCGCCACGGGCGTTCCAGGGGTGCCGGCCCTGTCCCAAACGGCCGCTTGAGGCGCGAACATCGCCCGAAAACCATGGGAGGAAGGCCCGTCGAGACGACGGCGGGCACCCCTGGCGCTCTTCGCCCTTGGGGGCCTCCTGGAGGCTTCTCGGCGCCACGGCCTTGACCCGCCTGGAAAAAAGGGTCGGGATGGACCCCAGGTGAGCGGTCCGGGGATCGATGCTGAACAGTTTGGGGCCACGGCCTCCAGGAAGCTTCTCGGCGCCACGGCCCCCAAGAAACTTCTCGGCGCCACGGGTCGGGATGGACCCCAGGAGCGGTCCGGGGATCGATGCTGAACAGTTTGGGGCCTGGGGGGAAGACCGCCGTCGGCTCAGCTGGCCCTCCTCTGGTGCACGCAGCGGTGGCCCTGGGCAAGAGCTGCCTTCGGGGTACGCGGCTGCGGGGGGGCCAAGCCTAAGCGCGCAGGCCTCTGCTGTCGCATCACTCGGCTATCAGGGGGCCCCATGGGCCGACGCAAGAGGCCACTCTGGCGAAGGATCACTCTGGAGTGCATCCGAAAACCTGCCTGGACCCTTCCTGGGCCCGGGATCGGTGCACTCGCCCGCCTGGGCCTCGGCCAGGCGGGCACGCACGCACCGATCCCGGGCCCTGGGGTCGGCCCTGGCCTGGACCGATGAGGATGCGTGGTTGACGTCCCTCGATCTCCCGGAGCCGGAAGCCGCGGAGCGTCACGGACCTTCCCCCCCTGCGCTCCTCCTCGCCCGGCCTCCTCCTCCTCCTCCTCCCCTCCTGCCTCTCCTCCTCCTCCTCCTCTCATCATCATCATCATCATCATCATCATCATCATCATCTCATCATCATCATCATCATCATCATCATCCATCCACCACCTCATCATTATCATCATCATCATCATCATCATCATCATCATCATCATCATCATCATCATCAATCATCCTAATCCATCATCATCATCATCATCATCCTCATCCTCATCATCATCCTCATCATCCTCATCTTCCTCCTCCATCATCATCATCATCATCCTCATCATCCTCATCCTCATCCTCATCGTCATCATCATCCTCATCCTCCTCCTCCTCCTCCTCGTCCTCCTCCTCATCATCATCATCATCACCACCACCACCACCATCATCATTACCACCACCATCACCACCACCACCACCACCATCATCATCATCATCATCATCATCATCATCATCACCATCATCATCATCGGCATCATCGTCCTCACCCTGCTCATCATCATCATCATCATCATCATCATCATCATCATCATCATCATCATCATCATCATCATCATCATGAGCAGCAGCAGCATCAGCAGCAGCATCAGCATCAGCATCAGCATCATCATGCTCTTCATCATCTTCTTCTTAGTCATCATCATCCTCATCCTCATCCTCATCGTCATCCTCAGCATCCTCATCCTCATCATCATCATCAGCAGCATCAGCATCAACATCGTCCTCATCCTCATCCACATCCTCATCATCAGCATCAGCATTAGCATCATCATCATCATCATCATCAACATCATCAGCATCATTATCATCAGCATCATCATGGTCACCATGGTCGTCATCATCATCATCATCAGCAGCATCATCATCATCATCATCATTATCATCATCATCGTCATCGTCATCAGCATCAGCATCAGCATCAGCATCAGCATCATCATCATCATCATCATCGGCATCAGCATCGGCATCACCATCATCATCACCACCACCCGCATCACCATCATCACCATAATCCGCTAACATCACTGTAAAAATACATGCACGAGTACCCATCGGACGGGAGAAATTGGTCGAGGCATGACGTAGGAAGGCGGTGAAAGCAGATTGGGCATCCGCCCGCCCCCTGAAGAGGAGGAAAGGGGGACAACCGTTCCTCGTTTGAAAAAGGATGGCGCCTGAAGTACACTGCGATCTGAGAATCCAATGAGACCGATGTTCAACGACCGCGGGGCAAGTGCGAGAATCACCATCACCATCAACAACGTGGTAAGTATCATCATCGTCATCATAGTCATCATGGTCACCCTCATCCTTACCTTTACCAGCATCAACATCATCATCATCATCATCATCATCATCATCATCATCATCATCAGCATCATCATTACCATGGTACTCATAATCATCATGATCGTCGCCACCATCCTCAACAGCAGCAGCATCGTCATTGAAAACGCATCACCATCAGCATCGCCACCATCATCGTCACCATCACCACAGTCAACATCACCACAATCAACATAATGATCGCCACTACCATCATCAGCAGCAGCAACATCACCAGCATTACCATCACCATCAACATCGCCGGCATCCTCATCATCATCCTCATCATCATCACCATCTCAGCCGCGATCTTCGTCACTATCATCGTCATCAGCAGCAGCATCAGCATGAACATCAGCATTAGCAGCAGCATCATCATCGTCATCATCATCGTCATCATCATGCGCATCCCCTATCACCATCCCCATCATCATCACCATCAGCATCAGCATCAGCATCAGCATCACTATTACCATCATCCTCATCAGCAGCAACGTCATCCTCATCCTCATCCTCATCGTCATCCTCCTTCGCCTCATCATCATCACCATCAGCACAATCATCATGAGCATCATCATCATCATCAGCAGCATCTCCATCTCCATCATCATCATCACCATCATCATCCTCATCCACATCATCCTCGTCATGATCATCATCATCATCATCATCAGCATCATCATCATCATCATCATCATCATCATCATCATCATCATCATCATCATCATCCGCATCATAATCATTATCAGCATCATCATCACCGTGAATCGCCATCATCATCCTCACCATCATCATCATCATCATCATCATCATCATCATCATCATCATCATCATCATCGTCATCGTCGGATTCATCACCATCAACATCAGCATCAGCATCAGCATCATCATTGGCATCGGCATCGGCATCGTCATCATCATAATCATCATCATCATCAACAACACCATCATCATCTCCTGCTACACCCCAAACCACCCCAGCATTTCTGTGTGGCGGGCGTCTTGGGCGATTCCACCGACGGCGCAGCAGCGAGCAAACGAGACACACAGAAGAGAGAGAGAGGAGGAGGAGGAGGAGGAGGAGGAGGAGGAGGAGGAGGAGGAGGAGGAGGAGGAGGACCCCACGCACCCACACAACACCGAGGAGGAGAGAAAGAGAAGAGGGAGAGGAGGGCGGGCCAGCAAAAGATTTGAGCCGACGCGGTTGCAGCGCATCGGCGCGACCACGACGGCCTGCGATTACACCTGAAATGAGATGTGCAAACGCGGCCATATCCTGCTACACCCCAGGCCACCCCAGCATTTCTGTGTGGCGGGCGTCCCGGGCGATTCCACCGACGGCGCAGCAGCGAGCAAACGAGACACACAGAAGAGAGAGAGAGGAGGAGGAGGAGGAGGAGGAGGAGGAGGAGGAGGAGGAGGAGGACCCAACGCACCCACACAACACCGAGGAGGAGACCCGAGCCCGAGAGGAACAGTGGCGACGGCAAGACGGCGCCGAAAGTACATAAACTAGAACAACAAAAATTTAGCTGGAACGCTTATCAGAAATGGGACAGGGAAGGGCGACCAACCGTTTAAAACCTTGAAGCCCCGTTTGCCTCGCAATTGAGTCAGGGAAACAGTTACAAAACTTCACACTGGGTACGGCTCGGCGAGGCGGGTCCAAAGGATCCCTGAAACGGGGTCGAGGCCAGAAAGGACCACTTCTACAACTGCAGCGGGGCCTCACGAGAACCTCAGGGCGATGACGGGCCCAGCAGGCCACGCGCGTGAACTTCCTCCAACGGGCACGGCGCCCTCGGCCCCCAGCAGGGCCTTCAGCGCGGGCGTGGCCCAGACCCACGAGCCCCCGGGGTTCTCGAAGTAGACGCGGGCCCCGAGCGAGCGGCACAGCGCGATCAGACCGAGGGCGAGCCTGAGCTGCTGGTTCCCGAGGTCGACGGCCGCATGCGGCCTGGGAGCCAAATTCGGCAGCCCCCACAGGTGGTCCCTCGAGCGGATGGTGCACCAAGAAGTCCCCAGCGGCCCATGGCGGGCCTGGCTCCAAGACGAAGAAGGCGGGGCGATCCAGACGACCGAGGCGACGCCGCCTCGAACCCAGCCCCGAACGGTCTGACGCACGACGGGATGGTCGAGCTCGCACCCAGATTTCGAAGCGACGTCCATCGGCAGCGCAGCGAGCCCACGGCGGCCCAGCGCGGCCGACAGGCAGCCCGCCCCGGCGAACAACTCCAGGACGGCTGTCCGAGGGGAACCCTTTTGACGTCCGAAGCTCTCATGAAGTTCTTGAGCAGGTTGCGACGAATGGACTTCGTCGAAGGGCCCCCCTCGGCTGGACCTGCGAACTCCACGGCCCGCTCGAGGTCAGGCACAGCGCGGGCAGCGGCGCCCCGCGAAGGAACACCTGCGGCAGCCTGGCGCCGATGGCCCGGCCGAAGGCGATCACCTGCTGCCCGACGCGCTGCAGCTCGGTGGTGATGCGAGCCTGCTTCGCGCAGCGCCTGAAGATCTCGTCGGACGCCCGACCTCCGCGCCGCCGCCCGCCTCTTCGCCAAGAGGTCGCCCAGGGCCCCCCATGCGGCGCAGCCCGTAGGCTGGGGCTGGGACGTCGCTCAGCCCCCGCGCGCAGGCCGCCTCCTTCATGCTCGTACCGAGCGAGGCTGGTGGGAAGGACCACAGGCGCGCCCCCCCCGATGGGCCCGCCGCTCCAGGCCGCGGAGCGCGGGCACCAGGAAGGCGAAAATGTCGATCACCACCGCGAAGTCCCACGGGCCTGTCTTGCCAGGCCGCCCCAGCTCGCCCGGATACAGCAGCAGCGCGGCGAGCCCCGAGCCCTCGGCGCCCGCCACGACAGGAAGGCGACCTGCATCGCCGCCAGCTGGTCGCACTCGGACGGCCTCAGGCAGCGCGCGAAGCTCAGAGTCACAGCGATCGCCTGCTCGATCCGGCCGCGGTGGGGCATCGCGCCCGCCAGCGCGACCACCGGCAGCCACGGCAGCGGCATGCGCATCCTGCGAGGGGCGCGCTTTCCCCGCCCAGCGAGGCCGCGGGGGGCCCGGCACAACGCCTGGTCTCCCCGGTGGCCAATCGGCGGCAGGAAGAACTTCAGCGCGGCGAGGAGCCGCTGGACGGCAGCCGTCAGGATCCCCGCCCCGGCGGCCAGGGGGGCGGGCTGGAAGTGTGGAGCACGCCCCGTCGGCATCGGGGGCCTGGGGCCTGGCCGATCGGCCTCGCTTCCCCGCCGCATCCCGCCGCCGCCTCGTCGACCATTGAGGCGATCGCCCAGAGCATCGGCCACTTCGGAGTCGACATTCTCGATGTAGGCGAGCCCGCGCGAGGTCGCGCCAGCAGGGTTGAGCTCGCCGGGGGCCCATCTCGCGACGACGCGCAGCCGGCAAGCCAGGGCGCGAGCGCAGATCTCTCGCAGGGCGCTGCGCTGCTGCGGCGAGGGCCCGCGGCCCTTGCCGATGGCCAAGGCGAGCGACAAGTCGTCGACGAGGCAAACGACCCTCTTCCCGAAGGCGCCGGCGGCCCTGAGCCGGCGGCGCACGGCGGGCGCGACGGCGACCCCCTCCGCGCGGTAGCCGCCGAAGCAGCCCCTCCACGGGAACGAGTGCGCGATGGCCCAGCCGTCCTCGACGAGGAGGTTCGGGTCGACCTCGCCGAACGACTTGTCCCAGTTCTTGGCCTCGTCCGACGGCAGCCCCCCAGGGCCGCGCAGCGGCGCGGCAGCATCACCGAAGCCCAGAGCGCGATCGCGGGCGCGGGCCGACTCCTCGAAGAGGTAGCGCCACCTCTCCGCGGCGCGGCGGATCTCGGCCGCGGCCTCGCGCTCGCAGCGGCGACGGCAGACCCCGCGGCCCCAGCCCGAGGCGTCGCCTGCGGCGATCTCGCCATGCCAGTCGGCCTCGGCGAAGACGACGAAGAGCGGCAGCAGCGAGCGAACGCGCAACAGCTCGCCCCGCACCGAGGGCCACAGCGGCAGCGCCTCGCCCCGCGCCGCCAGGATGAAAGCGCACACCGCGTCGAAGATCGCCAGCGAGCATCTCTTGAGGGGCACGGCCCAGGCGCAGTGGCCCACGACGATCTCGAGGATGGGCCCGCGGACCTTCGGGCGACGGATCAGCTCCTCGATCGCGCGGCGAAGTCGCCGGGCTCGCCGCGCAGAGACCCGCGCTGAGCGGTGGTGACCACCAAGTTCAAGTCCCGCGAAGCTGGCGGCCCTGGCAGCCTCAACATGCCCGTGGGCGACAACGCCGAGGGAGGAGAGCTCGCGCTCGACATTGCTTGCCGCGGCCTGGACCTTGGAGCGCTGAGGTCCTGCCACCAGGTAGTTGTCAACGTACGCGGCGCCAGCGGCAGGCAGTTTCGGCCCCGGGGTGACGCCCCGGCTGCGGTCGCGCGCCTGCGGCGCGGGGCCAACGCGGGCCTGGGCGAGCGCGGCCCCCGAGACGCACTTGCAGAAGTGGAGGGCCCAGGACCAGCCCATCGGCAAGATTGCGAGCTCCGGGGGCAGCCAGTCGGACTGGCGGATCGCGACGCCGCCCAGCTGAGTAACACCAGCAAGCCCAGCGCGCACAGGCGGCATCGAGAAGAACTCGCAGAGGTCCTCGGGCACCTGTATGGCGTAGAAGGCGTTCGAGATGTCCCCGCAGCTAAACCAGGCGTCGCCGCTGCCCTGCGTTTCCACGCGGGCGAACGCGCTGCCGCTGGGCAGCCCGGTGCAGGGCGGCGGTCTGAACCGAGTGTTGCATGCGCGGGTGTCGAAGATGAGCCGCTGGTGGCCTGACTTCTTGGCGACCGCGAAGACCCCCAGGGGCCCGCGGCGGCCGCGAGCGGGAAACAGGCACAGCATGCCCCTGCCCGGGAGCTCGCCGATGAACCCCCCGAAGGTGGCAGGATGTCGTAGCTTTGGATCGATGCAGGGTTGAGCAAGTCCGAGATCTCGTCGAAGGGCCGCTGCCCCCCTCGGCGGGCGAAGCACGCGGGCCTTCCAATCCTGCAGCCGCAAGCGGTCAACCTCCAGAAGGGCGCCGCGAAGCGCCGCGGGCGCCGAGCCGCCAGAAGGCCAGGGTACCAGGCCCTTGATGCAGGAAACCACGTTGCCGCGCCCCGCTGAGTACAGCGGGCAACTGGAGCAGATGTCGGAGAGGGAGCGCACGCGAGAGATGTCAGCTGGCGGGCCGCCGAACATGACAGACTGCGCATCGATGTAGTCGAGCGACCGCTGTTGCAAGACTGAGGGTCGCTTCCGATCGGGGGGCGACCCTCCGCCGCCAAGCCAGTTGAGCGCCGCGACGCCGCCGTTGGCCCACTCGATGCGGGACTGCGAGGCGGCGCCACCACCGGCGCGGCGGGCATCATCACGAAGGAGGAGCGGAAGAGGAAGAACATGTCGCTGACGACTGGCAGCCATGGCGCGGCGACCAAGACGTCAGGAGCGATGGGCCAGAGGGGGGCCCTCCAGGATGGCCGAGGTCCCGGCGGCCGCTGCGAGCACCGTGAGCGACGCGGGCTGAGACTTGCCAGCCTTGCCTGAGCCAGAGCCTTGTCCACCGCCTCGGCCACCGGCGGGCGGGCGGAGCAGCCGCCGCTCCTCGCGCGCCTTGCGGCGCTCCTTCGCGATGGCCAACTCGGCAGCCAGCTGCTTCGAGATCCACTCGGGCAAGGCGGGCGACGCCATGAGCGCGCGCGTGGACTGCACCCCTGCGAAGCAGAAGTGCTCGTCACCGCTGCTGCCGAGGGCAAGCGAGCACACCAACTTGTCCCTGTACCTTTCTTCGCAAAGCTGGAGCTGCCTAGCCACGAGCTCCATTGACGCCAAGTTCGATCCATCCAGTTGATCGCACGACTGGGCCACCTGCGCGATCTCCGAGAACTCGCGATGCATCGAGACGATCGGGTCGTCGGCGGCCACTCCAGAGCCCAGCACCGCCTTGCAGGCGAGGTGGTGCCCCGTCGGTGAGCCGCCGTTCTCCACCTGGTATGTCGCGACCCAACGGTAGGTGCTCGGGCCTGGAATCGGCCAGTCAGGGAACGAAGTCGGCCGCGTGAGCTGGACGCTATCCCTGAACGCTCTGCGCCGCTGTCCCTGGCCGTCGCACGACGTCGCGGGCGTCCGAAGTTCGCCTGGCCCGCCGCCTCCACCGTCATGGGTTGCGGGCCCTGCCACAGCTGCACCGTCAGCCTGTCCACCAGGGGGCCCAGCCACCAGCGCCGCCAGCCCAGCAAGCCCGCCGGCCGCGCCAGGCGCAGCCGCCGCGCCAGCGGCAGCTGCGGGGGCGGGGGCGGCCGCGGCGGCGCCACCAGCGGCCGCGGGAACGCCTGCGGCGATGCCGCCTCCCAAGGGGCCTCCGCCGCCGCCAGCGGCCAGCATGGCGAGCGCACCGCCGTCTGCGGCAGCACCAGGAGCAGGGGCAGCAGCATGAGCGCCTCCACCAGCGGCCTGGTCGCGCTCGCCGAGCTTCGCGGCCCCCAGCGGCTTGGGCCCCACCCCACAAGCCTGGGCGAGCTGGGCGACGCTCGGCGTGGCGGCGAAGTCATGCCGTCTGATCCCTGCTGGGATGACCGCGCCGTGCGGGACGGCTGCTGGCCCCCACTCCTTCCACCAGATGCGGACGTCCGCGTTCCCAGCGTCGCACTCCTCCACGTACGCGTCGAAGTCAGGCGCGAACACCGCGTAGCGCTCGGCGTTCCGAACCGATATGCCCACCACGATATACTTGTGGGCCCAGCGAGGGGGAGGCTCGCCGCACTCCACACAGATCTCATCGCCCACGGAGATCATGCGAAGCGGCAGGCTGCTGTGCGCTTAGGTTGGGGTCGCCCCCGATGGCGGGCCGCCTGGCGCGGCCCCGGCAAGAGAGGCGCGCCGCCGCCCCGACGAGCGTGAGCCCCCACCGCGCCAGCTCGGAGGCCAGCAGCAGGACGTTGCACAGCGCCGCCTCCCAAACCAGGGGAGGCCGCTGCCCGCTCTCCGCCTCGCAAAGGGGGCAGGGCGGGCAAGGCGGGCACGGCGAGGGGCAGGCGCGGACCGCCTCCCTCGCGTCCAAGGCGGCCGCCAGGCAGCCAACCAGCGGCACCTGGACCCCAGCGGCCTCTCCCGGCGCCGAGAACGGGCCCGCCTCGAAGAGCAGGGGCGGCGCTGCCGCCTGCGGAGGCGCCGCAGGCGCCTCGGGTGCCGCGGGCGCCGACGGCTGCAACCACCAGCGAGCCAGGAGCAGCAGAATGGCGTTGCTCGCCAGCGGGAGGCCAAACCCGGAGCCACTGAAGCGCATCCGGGCAAGGGTCTCTCCCCCCAGTAAAAGACTTGAGCCGACGCGGTTGCAGCGCATCGGCGCGACCACGACGGCCCTCGGTTACACCTGAGATGAAATGTGCAAACACGGCCATCATCAATCATCGTCTCTCCTTCCTGCCTTCCTTATCCCTCTTTCTCCTCCCCCTGCCTCGTCCCCACAAATCGAGACGGACGTGTTTCGCAATTCTGTCTCTAGAATGGGGCACGTGTGCGAGAAGCATGCGCATGCAAAGCCTGGCCCAGGTCATCCTCAGCCCAGGATCGATGCACACGCCCTCCTGGTTTGGCCAGGGGGGCACGTACACCAATCCTGTGTCCGAGGTGGCCTCCATTGGCGTGGCCCACATCGCCCGAGGACCTCCCCTCCAGAGCCACCGTGGCGTCGAAGCTGACGACGAGGGGCACGCTCGCGCTCGCGGCGCTCGCTATGTCCTCGACGCGCGCGACGACAACGACGGCGACGGTGACGACAACGGCGACGACGACCGAGGCCCGCCGACGAGAACAGCCGAGGGCCGCCGAGGGCACCCGAGGGCAGCCGAAGGCCGCTGGGGGTGGCCGAGGGCCGCCCGAGGATCCGCGGCCACTGCGCGCGACGCGAGGGCGGAGCCGTGCCCCGAGGGGTGCCACACATGCAGGAGCAGCTCCACCGAGCAGCTGCCCTGGAGCGCGTCCTCCGCGAGCCAGCTCTCCCCCAAGAGCCTGCTTGGCCGATTCCGGAAGCCCTGACTGTTGCGCTGACGCCTCTACAGCCATCGTGCTACCATAAAGAACGCTGAACAAGGAACGAAAAGTTTTTTTTGCTTGCTGCGTCGGGCCTCGGCAACGAACAAGGTCCCCGAATCTGAGGAACTGCCCGGAAACCGAAGCCAATCTTGAGCCACAGCGGTCATTACTTCAGAATATGGACTGTGCGCCTCACTGTCGACGTCCTGTGCGAAACCTCCAAATTACCTCCGCCACCTTCCGCTGAAGCCCGCCGCCGATCTGATTCCGCCAGCTTCCGCCGGCCTTCCGCCGCCTTCCGCCGAGAGCGAGGGTGCGCCGAAGGCGAGCGAGGCCCCTTCGGGGGGGCCCCGTTGGTCAGGGCTCGAGGCTCGAGCATCGAGGTTCCAGGGCCAAGGCTCGAGGACCGAGGGTCGGGGTTCGAGGACAGAGGGGCCGGCTCCCCCCCCCCCAGGAGCAAGCGCTCTCCCGGGGGAGTGAGCGCCGAAGCTGCAGGGGGGCCCTGCGCGAGAGGACTCAAGTCATGACGACCACACGCGGCGGATCACGCAGGATACCCGCGCGACACACCGCGCGGAAAGAGCGGGCGCTTACGCGAGACTTTCTGCGAGCAGGTGTCTAACAAGCCTCGAGCTCGCCCCTATCCCAGAAACCGGAAGGCCCAAGGCGATAACATTATTAGGGATGCGCCCTCTGAAGCTGAGGGGATTCTTGAGATCGGCACCCAGATACGGCGATGCTTATCATAGGATGTTAGCCCGCGTGAACCCCAAACAGTGCGTTTCTGGCAATATAGATTGCACAATCTATGTGAATCGATATATGTGATGCAATATACGTGGTGCAATCTATGTTGAACAACCGACGTTGTGCCATACATGTTATGCAATATATATTGTGCAGTGTATGCGGTGCAATCTACGTGGTGCAATATAAGTGGTGCCATCTATGTGGTGCAATTCACTTTGACCGTCTTGAAGCTGTCCTCTCCACTGCTCGTGCAAACATCCCACCCTCCCACCCGCAATTGGTCGCAAGACCTTTTAAGACAAGACCGTGACGGTAGGTCCACATGGCACTTGGCCACGACACCGACGCCGACGACGACAGCGACAACGACGACGACGTCGCCGCCGACACTGACTACGACGACCCCGCCTCTCACGACTTCGACGACGACAACAACGACGACGACGACGAAGACACCGACGACGACGACGACGACGACGACGACGACGACGACGATGACATGGCCAACGACGACGACGACGCCGACGGCGACGACGACGACGCCGACGACGACGAAGACAACGACGACGACGACGACGACAACGACGCCGCCAACGAAGACGATGACGACGACGACGACGAGGGAGGAGGGAGGACGACGAAGGCGACAACGACGACAACGACGACAACGACGACAACGCCTCCAGGTTAAAGCCCCAATCCACAAAGTCCGACCCCCGATCCCCGAAGTTCGATCCTCGATGCCCGAGCCTCGATCCCCGAAGTCCGATCCTCGAAGTTCGATCCTCGAAGCTCGATCCTCGAGGCTCGATCCTCGGTTCCCAAGTCTGGGCCAGGAGCCTGCTCGGAGGCGTCTCGTCCGCGCAGTTCGTCTCCGACGAGCCACCGCCCCACACCTCGGCAGAAGGCCCCCGTGCACGGCGCCACCACCCAAGACGGCCCCAAGACCGAGAGAACGAGGTCGAGCTCAGGACCCGCGTGGGTTCAGAGCCGGTGCGGCCTAGAACTCAGACTCCTTCACGCTGTGCTGCTCCGCTGGCACGGTGGCGGGATTCGCCTCAGGCAGCTGGCCCGCCCCAGGGTGATGCACACAATCGAGTTCGATTAAAGAGGACACGGAAGAAAACACAGGACTCGTCCGAAGGCAACATGGCCTCTAAACCGAGGTACCCTTGCCCCAGACATGAAGCACAAGGGCACCCTAGATTTAGAAGGGTCGACCTACTAGCCAAACTCGACCGTAGACCTTCCTGGCCTCGGTCAGGAGGGCGTGCCCTCAGATCCTGGCGACGCCCAACAATCGCGACGGCCAATCCAGAGCCGTTTTCGGCCTGTGCGATGCCGCTTCCTGGCCCAGGGACCGTCAGAAAACGCCTCGGGATGAACATCTGCCCCCAGGAAGTGGTCGAAGCACCAGGGGCCGAACGCACAAAAACCTGAGATGGCCCACGACATGCCGTGGCCCGGGGATGGCCCTGGCCAGGCACGGTGGCGATGTGCAGCTGCCTGCTGCGTCCTCCGAATCTTTCGGGTCGTACCTCTGGCCTCCGGCGGCAGTTCTGGCAAACTCGGGCACCCACAGAACGCCATCGGCGAGGCGCGGCTGATGGAGAACACCTCCGAAATTCGCCGCCACGAACGAGTTCTACTCCATTCTTCCGACAAGGAGGAGGATGATGAACAGGAGGAAGAGGAGGCGGAAGAGGAAGGAGGAATCAGAAGAGCTTCGCCTGGCGGGCGACGCTGACCTCGGCTTGCGCGGCTACCACCTCAAGGCCGCCTGTGCACTGAATGAATTAATCTCCTCGCCGAGAGGGTATGTCGGGAGGGGGGCTGGGATGGGCTCGGAGGGCCTGTCAGGAGCAAAGGAAGCAACGGGGGTGAGGGGGCAGCGGAGACAGCAGGAGCCGACCGCCTAGCCGGACATTCCAGGAGCGCCGCTGTCATCCCCCTGACCCTCGCCGGAAGAACCCAAGGCGTCCTCGAAACAAGACTCAAACGCGAGCGCACCTGGCGGCACTGGCCGATCGTCCGTGAGCGCCTGGCCATTCCAAAGGTCACGCGACTCCCAGAAACGGTTGAGTCGGAAAGCCGTGACCGAGCCTCGCACGACGCCTCCATGGCAAGACTTCGCAAAGAAAAGCGCGTTCTCACGAGAATAGCTGCCACAAGCACTGCAGAACCCGTCATGGTGCACAGTCCACAGCCTGTGCAGTCTACCCACGCCATCGCATTTGGCAGGAAGGCTGGGTGGAAAAAGGCCGGCGCGCGTGAACTACATGCAACGGTGCCGCCCGTGCGACTTTACAAGGTCGTGGCGACCATCACAAAGGCGCTGCGCCCGGGTGCAGAAGAGCCCTCCCTCTCCTCCAAGACGCGATTGCTCTCCTGCGGAAGAAAAGGCCAAGCGTGGAGGGATCGCCCAAGATACTTGTCAACACCTGCACACATTGGTGAGCACAGATGACCCTGCGCTCGGCCTAAGACTTCTGGGTTGGAGGGTTGCACCTGTTTTGGCCGCGGTGTCGTCCTGCCGATTGCCGAAGCGGAAACATCGAGCATCGTCGAACTGGATATCGTCGGAGACTTTGGCACCTTTGCCTTTTCGAACCTAAAACCCAGATCGAAGTCGACAAGGGCATCCCGAATCATCGCCCGCAAATCGGCCGCCACGCAACCCGAATGAATGGTCTCTACCCTGCCTGCGGCGAAGGACGTCGCAACCCACACGCAGTCAAAGGAAAACGTGATATCACCTGCACCACGGTGCCGGAGACGGGCCAGCACAACCCATCCTTCGGTGATCTCTGAATCCTGCATCCAGCCTGGCACTGGGCCGTACATCGAGACATAGAGCAGAACACTGTGCAAGCGGATCCCGTGGTTGGCAAGTTGCCAACCACGGGATCCCCTTGCACGATCGACGACACCGAGCCGTCGCCGAAGACATCTCCCTCAAGGAACCCTCCGCGCGGCCGAACCTGCCAGCGCACAGAAAATTCATGATCAGAGGGGGGGGGAGGGTCGAGGGTCGGGCACGAGAGCGCAACGCCACAGGCACCATTCAGGATGCGCCCGTTCAGCTACCTTCGCCTTATCAACCATGTCGTAGTCGCGTCGCCACAGCCGGGTGACGGGGCAGTCACCCCAAGGAGCATGCTTCAGGGCGCCTTCTGGTCCGCCGCAACACAGGAAGCACGCGGCAGCCTGCATCCCTGCACCGCGCCGACGAGCAGCGTCCCAGATGCCGTTCCCAACTATCGCCCGCACTGGCCGACGTCAGCGTCGTCGTCGTCGCCGCCGCCGCCGTTGTCGTCGTCGTCGTCTCGCTTCACGGTTGGCGGCACAGGCCGCAAGGCCTTCGCAGCAACGAGGATCTCACGAGCTTCCACCGGAGTCAGCAGAACGATAACATGCTTCTGGAAAGGGCAGCGCTGTCCGATCTGCTTGAGTGCTGGGCAAGCGGAGCGCCACTTTCCCCGACGCGCGGTTCGGTTACGCCGAGCTCAGATCTGCTTCGCCTATGGACTGGCATTGGTCGCATGAGCTGACGCGGGGCTTACCAAGGAGCCACGTGGAGCACTGCGGTGAATCGTAGGCACTATGCTCAGCAAGAGCCTTCCGACACGTGAAACTCATGTGGCGCATGCCGCAAATGGCAAAAGCCCCCAGCAGATTTCGGACCTGCTGCATGGAAGAGCGGTGGAACCTGACGATGTGCTGTTTGAGCCCCGCAGGTCCAAAGGATAAACCAAGTGCCACATGCAGGGGTACTTCGGGACCTCCGAAACCTGGACTGGCAAGTGGGGTGGAGCGGGTCGGCGACGGGTCGAAGTGGGCCAACGCCAGAGGGCTCCTGGAAGATAGTTATCTCGGCCATGTCGGTGGCCACGACGAGGCCAACATGCCCAACGTGGGGCCAAACAGCTAACTCAACCGGCCTTTTTCCACCCCGCTGCGAACTTCCTGAGAAGCTCAAATTCGGAATTTGAACTTTTCAGGAGCTAAGATCCTCAGCGGGACTGGACACGCCGTGGTATTTGTGAACGAACCTACGAGCCCATTGAAGATCTGAAAGAATCTGGTGAAACCCAAGATCCCGTGACTTCAAGAAGCAAGCACTAGCTGAAGCAACCGGGTGATCTGGCTCAGAATGCTGGCGACGGCCGAAAGACGAAGACGATGGACTGACAGGGCTGCTAAACATGGCCGCTTTATTTGCGCGAGAACGTGATGATTGGGAGCGGCTGTCTCGCCCCTGCGTGGTCTTCTAACCACCGCTCGAAACATTCGCGCCAATAGAAAGAGCAGCGCGCTGCGAAGCCGTCGGCACTGGCCACGCACCTGCATTGAAAAGCTAGCTGGAGACATGAGCGTTTCGACTAGGATACATCCGACAGAACGCTCCAGGTCGGGGTCTCTGAGCACTGGGCGGACTGCTTTCCATAGAGGCACGCCGGCTCGAGCACGGCGCGCTAACTCTGGGCCAAGAGACCCCCGCCCATCGACAACCATTCCCAGATGCGTGCGCTGACGTACAGCATACAATCCTACACGTCCGAGCAATCGAATAGAAACCGCGATTTCTCCCAGGGCGTCCTCCCAGAGCTTCAGCGCGGCACTTTCGGAGGCCTTGGCTCTGATTAGAAATGGAACAGCACTCTTGCCTCTAGCCGCGCGTAGCCGCATGCTGCGTTCAGCGAAGGTCTCAAACGCGACAGCTGCTAGATCAGGCGCGCGCTGCAGCAACTGGTCAGCCCTGCCAATAGACGCGAGCAACATGAGCAGGGCATCGCCGAAGAAGGCAAGACCCATGGAGCGACCGAAATGCATGATGTTCTCTGGCGCGCTGGCGCGCCAAGCACCATAGGTCGCCGTGGAAATCTAATATCGACCTCAAAATAATAAAATTAATGTTTGGCTTCCCTCCCTTCTTCCTCACGCGACGGCTTCCATCGCAGAATGCCCAAACGCCCGCGGCGCCGGCCCCGGCGCCCGCGCCGACGGGACGGGGAGGCCCAAGCCCTCAATTCTCACAACAGAAAAAAGGAAAAAAATGTTCCAGCCACCCGCGGCGACAGTTCCGGCCACGCATGTCCACCGACGCGCACGTTCTACCCGCCCACGGCGCGGGCTCCAGCCATGCAGTTTCCAGGCGCGAGCGACCCAGCCGCGCGCGGCGCGGGTCCCAGCCGCGCACTTCCACCGAGCGCGAGCGCTCCAGCAGCCCGCGGAGCGGGCTCCAGTCATGTCACCGCGCGCGAGCATTCCAGCCAGGCGCGGCGCGGGCCGCGGCCATGCCGTCTTACCCGGCGCGAGCGTTCCAGCCGCGCGCGGCGCGGGCTGCGGCCGCGCACTTCCACCGAGCGGGCGCGCTCCAGCCGCCCGCGGCGCGGGCTCCAGCCATTCATGTTCACCGAGCTCGAGCGCCCCAGCCGCGCGCGCTTCCCCGGCGCGAACGGCCCTGCTGCAAACGGCGCGGGCGGCAGCCATGCACCTGCACCAGGAGCGAGCTTTCTAGCCGCCCGCGGCGTTCGTGAGTGCACGCGGCCCTCGGGCAAATTCTACAGCTGTCGCGCGAATGGCAGCCGGAGCGAACCTCACCCCCGCCGCGCCCTAGATCACTTACAATCGCTAAACGGACACGCATCGCCAAAACTCCCACTGGCAAATTAATCCACTGATTGTAGAAAAACGCGTTTCGACCGTGCCCGCGGGGAAAGCCTTTCGCCCGGCGCACCGGTGACCTAGCCAGGCCACTCCCCGAAAGAAAAAGGCCAATAGACTTGCATGGCCGATGGGCGCGAGGATCGAGAATGCGCATGTTGGCCGCAACGATGACTTGAGCCCTGGAGGAGGCGCCACGGCCAACGGCTTTGTCTGGGGCCCCGGGGGCGCTGGTAGAAACAGAAGGCGGGGCCAGATGGGAGCGGCGAAACAAAGATTGCTTGGGCTCGGGGGAACGCCGTGATCAGGTGAATACTGAGCCGGGTAATCCCGCGACGCGCAATTCAGCCATGCCCATCTGAGAACTTCGACCTGCGCCCTGACGCCTTCCGGTCTGAGGAGGGCGAGCGAGCCCGCGGAAGAAAGCATGCAAAGTGCGCTTGTCAGCTCATTCCACGGATGGGCCTCGCGAGCACCGACGCGCATGTTCCTGCGTGCCCTAGAGCGGGTTCGAACGATGCAGCGCGACCCATCGAGGTGCCTCCGTTGAGTCAGACGAGAGCCCCGCGTCGCACCCCCGCCCAAGACTGAAATGGCCTCGCGGTTGTCCACATAGGAATAACCCAAGATTCAGAAACACCCAACTGCAGAGATAAGGTGCCACGAGTTTTCCGACAGAATCTCGGCGTCACCCCCCGCGCTTGCAACGACCAAGTCACGACCAAGTAAGCCGCCGACAACTGAGAGAACAACCAGTGAAGCTCGGGGGCCACGCCGTCGGACTTGATAGCGCGAGCACTGAATCCTACAAATGGGAAATCGGAAGGGCATCTTCTGCGACGCAACCAGAGGCCAACTGGGGAACCCTTCCCTTTGGTAGCGCGAAAAACTCTGCCCCGTTGAAAACTGGGACGCGAAATGCTGGGACAGACCCCGCCGGAGGCATCCGCGAGCAGACGTCATCTAACCCAGTGAGTGAAGTCAGAGAAGGGTGGAGGTCCTGGCGGAGCCTGGGCAACAGAGGAATGTTAAAATTAACCCATGCGAAACAAATGGTTGCCCGGGTCGGCGTCCCACGCGCAAGGCAAGCGCCCCACAACCTCTCGGGCCTTCGGGAAGGGGCAACCTCTGGAGGGACAAGCTCCCCAGTGGAGTGCCAGGGGCGCGTCCTGGGGGCCATTTCTTGCTTGATTGCCCATGGGTTTCTGCATCTGTTCGAGCTCGGAGTCTTCCATCATGCTGCGCTGTCGTTGGATCCTCTGTTTTCCTCGGCTAAGATCTCTCCCGCTGCGTCGCCGGCGGAGCACCGTGCCCTGCTGCCCTCCTGCTGCGCTGAGGGTAGCGCGTGATGTCCGCGCACCTGCGGGATTATCGCCACGCGCTGCGGGATGGCGCTCCGCGGCTGCTGCTGCGCGCGCAGGGCTGCCAACTCGGATTCGGCCATGACTGGGAGACCGTCTTCGCTTTGTCCTGGCACAGGCGCCCCCTTCTGCTCCGGTAGCTAGCGGCGCAGAGGCTGCCGAGGCTGATTTCGCAGAAGCTGCTGCAGTGAGAATCACCGTCAGGTTGCTGGCGAGCTGGGCCGTCAGGGTGGCTGGCCCGCTTTGGAGGTCGGCGATCACATGTGGCAGCATCATGTTGGGACCTGCTGGGGGCGCTGACGATGAGCCGAGCGCTGGCTGAGCAGCGGGAGCGAGAGGCGAAGGCGCTGCTAGCGCTGCAGCTCCCTGACCGCGAGGAAGGAATGTCGACTGGACCGTATTCTGATACTGAACGAGACTTGGTAACGTACCTTCTGCTGCTGGCCAATGCAACCGGCCGCGATCGGCATCCATGAATGCCGCTGCCGCCTGTCGGTCTTCTTGTTGCATCATGTCCTGGAAGTCCGCTAAGAACTCCTGAGCTACCTCCAAGTCGTGATGTAGGTTGCTCTTCGCAGCAGAGATTGCCTCGAGGGCAGCTCTTGCGTGGGACTCTGCATTCTCTGAATCGGCAACCCGTTTCTTTGAGCGGTCCACGTAGCGCTGCTGGTTGCCAACTCGCTCCTCGGGCGAGTACGCGGTCACAAGCATGAGCACAAATCGAGTATTCGTCCTCTAGCTCTGCCACGCGGTTGCTGTCAGCAGCCACGAGGCCTGTAGATCTGATCTGCGTCTCGAGTGCGATTAAGTTGGTGCGCATAGGAGCTCGAAACGCATGCAACTCTGTGGTCTCTGCAGGCGGGTCGATCCAAGCATCGCGTGCTCGCGCGTGCGTATGAGCCGATGGAGGAATGCCGATGGAAAAACCAAGTTGGGCCTGACCCGTGGAACCAACTGAGGGATCTGGCTGCCGCTGCTGAAGTCGGCCTCCGTGGCCTTCTGCGTCGTGGGACGGGAAACGGCGAGGCGATGCCCGCTTGCCGAGCGGTCTCGCTGCCGACGACCTCCTGGGGACCGCGGCGGGAAGCACCATGCACACCAACGGGACGACTTCCGATTGTAAGTGCTGCATGTCGTGCGGATCAAATTTGCAGCCCCGAAGACGGCGAAGAAGGCGCATAGGAACCATAACCGTTGCCTGAAGAGACCCATGGTGGTGTGGCATTGGACATACTTCAACTGTGATGTCCCTGGAGCAGGCTGCGCGCGGAGGCGACATTGACCGAGGTTCTTCCTGATGAGCGTTGTACTCGAACTCGTCGATGCCAAGCAGCGTTCCCTGGCTCGCTTCGTCGGCAACGTCGTTGCACGACTCGCTCGCGCAGCCCGCGGCTACGGCGGCCGCGCGGCGCGATGGGCGCGGCCGTACGGGGGCCTACGCTCGGAGGGGGCGCACCCCAAACCCTTTGCACGGCAAGCGCCTGACGGAGGAGGAGTGAGGAGGGAGGGGGATGGAGGATGGGGAGGAGCACCTCCACCGACCAACTCGGCGCCTCCGGCTCCAGCCCCATCTCGTGCAGGGCGCGCGCCTCTCGGCGTGCGCGGCAGACTGGCCCCAGAGGCAGGAGTAGCCTTTTGGTGCGCTGCCTGTTCGAAGGGCCAGCGGGGAGACATGTCCTGGAGGCGGCTTCCAAAACAGGAGCCGCTGGGCCATTGTGGTGTGGGCCACTGGGGAAGCCAAATCCAAGCGCGCAAGATGGCATTTTCAAACGATCCGCTATAGTGGCCGTTACTGGCCACGCCACCACCACCCAGTAACGTCACGTTTCGCGCCACGGTGTGCTCGCGGAGAGACCGCTGGGGCACACCACAATGTCTGTGTACACCACAGTACCTGCGTGCACCACAGCTCCTATGAACGCCAGTGCTTGCGTGCATCAGTGGGCCAGTGTGAACAACAATACCTGTGTGCACCACAATGCCTGTGCACACCACAGTGCCAGTGTACACCACAACGCCTGAGGTGTACACCGGAGGGCCTGTGTGCACAACAGTGCCTGTGCACACCACTGTGCCTCTGTGCACCATAGTACTTGCTTACACCACGTTGCCTGTGTACACCGCAATGCCTGTGTTCACGAAAATGCCTATCTACACAACAGTGACTGTGTACACCACAAACCACTTGTTCACCACATCTGCTTCTGAAGCAGCATCAGACGTATGCACCACAACGACTGTGTACACCACTGCGCATGTGCAGATCACAGTGGCCGCGCGCACCACAACTGCCGCGTCAGCTCCGTATGTGTACCAGATCACATGTACAGCACAATGCCCATGTACACTGAAAAGTCGTATGGGGACACGAACACAACAAGTTCAATGCAACTGTTATTTGTAACGGCTCTTTCTGGCCAGAGGTACGTGCCTGCGTATACCTGCCTATGTGCACCTCCGCGCCTGTGTACACAGTAATGCTTGTGCACACCACAGACGATGCAGCAGCAGCATCTGTGCGCACCACTGCGCCTGTGTACATCACAGCGACCGTGTACACCACAGGGCCTGTGTGCACAACAGTGCCTGTGTACACCAGAGTGCTCGTGTACACCACTACGCCTGCGTACAATACCGATTCTGCCGCAGCAGCATGGTGCACATCCCAACGTCATCCCAGCGTCATTACTCGGAAAACACTCTTCCCAATATCGATATCGATCTCGGACCGCGGATCGAAATTATACCTGATATTGACGTTCGGGTCACAACTCGGGTCTCAAGCGGCCGTTCGGGACGGTTCGGGCACCCCGGGAACACTCTCGGCGAGGCGCAGCTATCGTGATTCCGACAGCTGTCGGGATGCGTGAACAGTTTTCCCAACCCTCCTGTGTGCTGCGTTCTCGTTTTGAATCGAGCACTGTGGTCTCCAAGGACCTCCTGCTCCTCCTGCTCCTCCTCCTCCGCCTCCTCCTCCTCCTCCTCCTCCTCCTCCTCCTCCTCCTCCTATTCCTCCTCCTCCTCCCTCCTCCTTCTCCCTCCTCCTGCCTACTTGCATTCCTTGTTCGTACTTGTCCTACTAGGTGGCTGCGAACTGCACAACTGTCGCCACTGTCGTGGGCTCCTGGCAGGTCCAGCGGAGAGGATTTTTTCGCGCATCCAGGCGAGACCTCCCAGCTACTTGGATGGCCGCGAACTGCGCAACTGCCGCCACTTTCGTGGGATCCTGGGAGGTCCAGCGGGTGGAGCTATACGCGCATCCAGACGAGACCTCGCCGCTCCCTGGGTGGCTGCGAACTGCGCAACTGGAGTCAAACGCGCATCCAGACGGGACCTCGCCGCTCCTTGGGTGGCTGCGAACTGCGCAGCTGTCGCCACTTTCGTGGTCACCTCAGAGGTCCTCCGAAATGGAGTTTCACGCGCATCCAGACGGGACCTCGCGGCCCCCCCGGGTGACTGCGAACTGAGCAACTATCGCCACCTTCGTGGGCTCCTGGGAGACCCAGCGGATTGTGGGAGTACGCAGATCCAGCCGAGACCTCGCGGCTCTCCTGGTGACTGCGAACTGCGCAACTGTCGCCACGTTCGTGGGCTCCTGGGAGGCCCAGCGGAGTGGAGTTACACGCGGATCCATCCTGGACGCCTTTTGGGGCGTCTTGGAAGCATCTTGGGGGCTCCTTGGAACGGTGTGGGTTATCTTGAGGCCGTTTTTGGGGTGTACTTGCGCACTGCGTCTCCTTCAACATGTTCGTTTGCATCGAGTGGTCATGGGTATACTCGCCGCATGTTTAGAAACAGTTTGGCACGTCGTTGGGTAATTTGTCGGCAGCGCTGGCGGACGCAAGCGCGACTGCAGGGCCGGCGGGACGCGCCGAGCGCTGGGCGCGCCAGAGTGGATGGAAGAGCAGAGAGCGGCCGCGGAGGCGGACAAGGGAGAGAGGCCTCGCCGAGGAGAATCAACGCGAAACAATCCCGAGGCAAAACAATCTCGAGGCAAAACAATCTCGAGGCAAAACAATCTCGAGGCAAAACAATCTCCGAAACAATCGCGTTGCCACATCCCGAGGCAAAACAATCTCCAGGAGCTGACGACAACGTCCCTCGGCGGGGGGCCAGCGGGCCTGCCTGCCCCCGCACCAAACGGGCCACTCCGGCGAGGGGGTCGCTCGTGCGCGCGCGCGCCCGAGACCTCGGCCGCCCCCCGCGAGCACGCCAGCTCGGCCCCGGCGAGCTCCTCGTGCGCCCGCTCCAGCATCGAGGCGAGGCTCGCCGCATCCTATACCGCGCGGGCGCGCGGGGGCGGGAGAGGGTCCCCCTCCCCCTCCACCTCCTCCTCCACCGTCCTCCCCCTCCCCCTCCACCTCCTCCTCCTCCATCCCGTTTCCTTGCAGGCATCTCCTCCCGGTTGTACCCTTAGGCGTGTCGATGGGGCGGGTCGGGCGTTTCGCCTGAGATTTCCTCACCACGTCAGGTCCTGAAGCATGAAGTGCGCAATAGTTACAAGGATGGGAGGGGGGTCGTTTTCAAAATGGGACTCTCGACTGAGCGCCGCGCACATTCGATGTTTTGAAGCTTGCAGCAGCTGCAAGAACGGAGGGCTTCGTTTTCAAAAGGGGATCTCGCATTAGCGCCACGCACGTCCGTCTTAAACAGTGCAGCAGCTGTAAGGATTGAGGGGGGCCTTTCAAGCTGGTGCTCTCGCATTGGCGCCGCGCGCATTCGCCTTGAAAGATTGCACGAGGTTCAGTGATGTAGGGCGGCTCCTTGTAAGAATGGGGCTCTCGCCTTAAACGTCCTCAACTCTGTGAGCCAGCAATCGAAGAGATGGACCAGCTGCGAGCTGCACGGATGGATAGCGGTTCCTTTTCAAAACGGGGCCATCGCTTTAGACTTCCTCGAAGTTCGTGACCACGAGTGCAACCTCGTGCACAGATGGGGGCGGTCCTTTCTCAAAACGGGGATACCGCTGGACACCTTTCTTAACAATATGATCACACCTTTTCGCATTCCAAATTACTCGCCGAAAAAATGCAAACAAACTCCTTATCAAAACGGGGCTCTCGCCTGAATGACAAGCCGAGAGGGTGCACGTCTTTCAAGGAGGCACTTCTTGTAGTGAAAACGAAGAGATGTAGGGACTCATGAGGAGGGACTTGGAACGGGAGGGCGCATTGCGGCATCGTTGATGAACCTTGCTTTCCTCCTCTTCAGGAGCAGAAGGAGGCGGAGACGGAGGAGCAGGGAGGAGAGGAAGGAGGGGGATGAGGAGGATAAGAAGAAGGGAGGGAGAGGGGGGGGACGAGTAGATTGAAGAACGGAGGGAGGAAAGGAGGGAGCAGCTTGTCCCAGCATGGGACCGCGTCAACTGGCGCACAGGCGTGCTGGAGGCTGCCCAGCTGGACGTCGCCACCACGGATCTGCCCACAGGCCGTCCCCTATGCATTGACTGGACCACTACCTGCTAATATTCAGGGTACGCCCATCGCAAGCAAGCTGGGTCCAACAACGACGGCGTGGCCGCAGCAGCCATGGTGCGGGAGAAGGGGCCCCGGAACCCTCCCCAGCGGGGGTGACCTGGCCCCTCTCGTCTTCGAGACATTGGGCCGCCCGTCCAACGAAGCCGCAGGGTTCACACGAGCTTATGGAAACAACGCCGACGAAGTGGTCTGGGGCGATGTGCTTGGCAGGGTGTGGCAGCAACTATACTGACAGCTCAACCGCGGCAACGCAGAGATAGTGCTTAGCGCCATAGGCCAAAGATGCCCCTCTGCCGCGTCATTATGACAGCTGCCACCACCACTACAACTATGTACTATCGCCACCACGGCAGCATCCGGCGCGACAGCCATGGCCACGACAACGACCCCCGCAACAGCCGCGACCAAGACCAAATTGACTTCGACGGCCACGACGGCTGGCGATGTGACGACTGGCCTCCACGACGACTTCGACCACTGTCACGACCCCTCACGACGCGACCCTCCTTACCACTTGCTGGCCGCCCCCTCCTCCTTCTGGCCCTCGTTCGCCTCCTCCCAGGGGCGGCGTGAGCCAAGCCTGGACCCGCAAACCTCCCGAGGTTGGCTCGCTGGCGACCTTCGGGCCCGAGGGTGGCCCCAGGCTAGCAGCAGGATCCCGCGCGAGCGTTCGCTCGGCGTTTAATTCGATTGATTCGTGCCACAGAACTGCCCTCTCTCTACACGCCTGGCCCTGATGGCCACCCGTCCTAAAGCTGGACGGGTGCTGGGGCCGCAGGAGAAAGGAGAAGTAAGGAGAAGTAAGGAGAAGGAAGGAGAAGGAAGGAGAAGGAAGAAGGGAGGGAGGAGGGAAAGGAGGGAGGAGAAGGGGAGGAGAAGAGGGAGAAGGAGACGAGGGCGCTGAGTCAATCGATACAACAAGGGTGTTTTGCATTGCTTTCTGGGCAGTGTTGAGCCACACTCTCCATGAACACCGCTGTATCAATAGCATCATAGAAGGAAGATGAGAAGGAAGGACGACGATGAGGAGGGAGGGATGAGGGAGGGAGGAAAGAGGAGGGAGAGAGGGAGGAGAGGGAGGAGAACGCGGGTGCGAAAAGGGAGGGAGGGAGAGAGGAAGGTGAAGTGAGGATGAAGAGGAGGAGGAGGAGGAGACGGGGGAGAAGGGTGGAACAATTCCTCCTACCCCAGAGCCCACCAGAGCGTCCAAACGGCCTCAACCAACTCGGAACTGCCCGAAAACTTCGGGCCTCAGTGAATGACGACGACGACGACGACGACGACGACGACGACGAGGACGACGACGGACGACGAAGGACGACGAAGGACGACGACGGACGACGGACAACGGACGACGACGACGACGACGAGGACGTGGACGAGGATAACGACAACGGACGACGGACACGGCGACGACGGACGACGACAACGACGACGACGACGACGACGACGACGACGACGACGACGACGACGACGGACGACGGACGACGAAGGACGACGACGGACGACGACGGACGACGCACGACGGACGACGGACGACGACGACGACGACGACGAGCATCCTGCCCCTCGCAGGAGAGCAACTCCGACGCCCGCTTCTCCGCCGCGCTCGCCCGCAGCTCCTCGTGCTCTCGCTCGGCCTCACGAAGCTCGTCGAGTTCCAGGCGCTGCTCCTATGGAGGCCTCCCGAATGGAGCCCGAGCAGATGGGGTCGGAGTATCGCGCCGCATCGCTGATGCATCGGCGATGCGGACCTCCCGACCCAGTCTACGCGGATCCCAGTTGGGATGCCTGGGCTCCTCCAGCGCCCGCTCCACCTCCCCGCACTCGGCGACAAGCTGGCGGCGCCGCTCCTCCAGAGCGGCGGCGCCGCCCGCCATCGGGAGCACATCGGGGAGGGCTGGCGGGCCGGACGAAAGCGTGAGGGGGAAGGTTCCGCCTCCAGGAGGCGTCCGGGATGTCTCAGAGAGACCTCGGACCTACTTGCCATCGCTCGGACGTCCATTCCCAGTGCATTTTTCGGTTTTGTGAGTGGTTGTTTGCTCGATGATCCAGGATGCTCTTCGATTGCCCTCGCCGAGACAAAAACAAAGCACAGGTCCGAGCGATGCCAAGCCTACAACCCAGGTACGGTGGCAGGATGGGCCGAAGGCCACCAGACGTGCAGAGTGAAGGAAACTCGTCTGCTATGACGGAAGTCTGAGGCGAAACGACAGGGGGGGGGGGGGCCAGCTCGGGGGGTAAACGTCGAGCTGGAATCGGCGGTACATCGCCGATAGATCGGCGATAGGCCCCCGATGGCGAAGCCGCCAGCTCCTGGGCGGGGTGGGCTATCGGGGCCCCGATCGGCGATGCATGGGCGATTTGGAGTCTGTGCATTCCCCCATCAGCTTCCCTGAACCTATTCCCCCCTAACGTTGAAACTGAGGGGGTGTGGATGGCAAAGGGAAGATGCCCCAATGGCCT